ACTCACCCACTCACCCACTCACTCACCCACTCACTCACTCACCCACTCACCCACTCACTCACCCACTCACCCACTCACTCACCCACTCTCTCACTCCCCCACTCACTCACCCACCCACTCACTCCCCCACTCACCCACTCCCCCACTCACCCACTCACCCACCACTAACTCACTCACTCACTCACCCACTCACTCACTCACCCACCCACTCACCCACTCACCCACTCACCCACCCACTCACCCACTCACCCACTCACTCCCCACTCACTCACCCACCCACTCACTCCCCCACTCACCCACTCACCCACTCACCCACCCACTAACTCACTCACTCACTCACCCACTCACTCACTCACCCACCCACTCACCCACTCACCCAACTCACCCACCCACTCACCCACTCACCCACTCACTCCCCCACTCACCCACTCACCCACTCACCCACCCCCATCACCCACTCACCCACTCACCCACTCACTCACTTCACTCACTCACCCATCACTCACTCACCCACTCACTCACCCACTCACCCACTCACTCACCCACTCACTCACCCACTCACTCACCCACTCACTCACCCACTCACTCACCCACTCACTCCCCCACTCACCCACTCTCTCACTCACCCACTCACCCACTCACTCACCCACTCACTCACCCACTCACTCACTCACCCACTCACCCACCCACTCACTCACTCACTCACCCACCCACCCACTCACCCACTCACCCACCCCCTCACTCACCCACTCACTCACTCACCCACTCACTCACTCACCCACTCACTCCCCCACTCACTCACCCACCCACTCACCCACTCACCCACTCACTCCCCCACTCACTCACTCACCCACCCACTCACTCACTCCCCCACTCACCCACTCACTCACCCACTCACCCACTCACTCACCCACTCTCTCACTCCCCCACTCACTCACCCACCCACTCACTCCCCCACTCACCCACTCCCCCACTCACCCACTCACCCACCCACTAACTCACTCACTCACTCACCCACTCACTCACTCACCCACCCACTCACCCACTCACCCACTCACCCACCCACTCACCCACTCACCCACTCACTCCCCCACTCACCCACTCACCCACTCACCCACCCACTCACCCACTCACCCACTCACTCACTCACTCACCCACTCACTCACTCACACTCACCTCACCCACTCACTCACACTCACTCACCCACTCCACTCACCACTCACTCACCATACTCCCCACTCACTCACCTCACTCACCCACTCACTCACCCAACTCTACGTCCCACTCACTCACCCACTCTCTCAGTCACCCACTCACCCCACTCACTCACCCACTCACTCACCACTCACATCACTCACCCACTCACCCACCCACTCACTCACTCACTCACCCAACCACCCACTCACCCACTCACCACCCAATCACTCACCCACTCACTCACCTCACCCACTCACTCACTCACCACTCACTCCCCACTCACTCACACACTCACCCAATCACTCACCACTCACCACTCACCCACTCCACCCCACTCACTCATCACCCACCACCACTCCACATCACTCCCACACACCCACTCACTCACCCAATCACCCACTCACTCACTCACCCCACTCACTCACCCACTCTCTCACCCCCCCACTCACCCACCCACCCACTCACCCACTCACTCACTCACTCACCCACTCACCCACTCACCCACTCATTCACCCACTCACTCACTCTCTCACTCCCCCACTCACTCACCCACTCTCTCACTCCCCCACCCACTCACTCACCCACTCTCTCACTCCCCCAACCCACTCACCCACCACCATCACCACCCACTCACCACTCCACCCCACTCACCCACTCACCCACCCACTCACCCACTCACCCACCCACTCACCCACTCACCCACTCACCCACCCACTCACCCACTCACCCACCCACTCACTCACTCACCCACTCACCCACTCACCCACCCACTCACCCACTCACCCACCCACTCACTCACTCACCCACTCACTCACTCACTCCACCCACTCACTCACTCCACCCACTCACTCACCCACCCACTCACTCACCCACTCACCCACTCACCCACTCACCCACTCACTCACTCACCCACTCTCTCACTCCCCCACTCACCCACCCACTCACCCACTCACCCACTCACTCACTCACCCACTCTCTCACTCCCCCACTCACTCACTCACTCACCCACCCACCCACTCACCCACTCACCCACCCACTCACTCACCCACTCACTCACTCACCCACTCACTCACTCACCCACTCACTCCCCCACTCACTCACCCACCCACTCACCCACTCACCCACTCACCCACTCACTCCCCCACTCACTCACTCACCCACCCACCCACTCACTCCCCCACTCACCCACTCACTCACCCACTCACCCACTCACTCACTCACTCACCCACTCACTCACCCACTCTCTCACTCCCCCACTCACCCACCCACCCACTCACCCACTCACTCACTCACTCACCCACTCACCCACTCATTCACCCACTCACTCACTCTCTCACTCCCCCACTCACTCACCCACTCTCTCACTCCCCCACCCACTCACTCACCCACTCTCTCACTCCCCCACCCACTCACCCACTCACCCACTCACCCACCCACTCACTCACTCACCCACTCACCCACTCACCCACCCACTCACCCACTCACCCACCCACTCACCCACTCACCCACTCACCCACCCACTCACCCACTCACCCACCCACTCACCCACTCACCCACTCACCCACTCACCCACTCACTCACCCACTCACCCACCACCCACTCACTCACCCACTCACCCACTCACTCACCCACTCACTCACCCACTCACTCACTCACTCACCCACTCACTCACCCACTCACCCACTCCCCCACTCACTCCCCCACTCACCCACTCACCCACTCCCCCACTCACCCACTCACTCACTCACTCACCCACTCACTCCCCCACTCACTCACTCACTCACTCACCCACTCACCCACTCACCCACTCACTCACCCACTCACCCACCACTCACCCACTCACCCACTCACCACTCACTCACCCACTCACCCACACACTCCCCCACTCACTCACTCACCCACTCACCCACTCACCCACTCACCCACTCACTCACCCACTCACCCACCACTCCCCCACTCACTCACTCACCCACTCACCCACTCACCCACTCACTCACCCACTCACCCACTCCACTCACCCACTCACTCACCCACTCACTCACCCACTCACCCACTCACTCACCCACTCACCCACCCACTCACTCACCCACTCACTCACCCACTCACCCACCCACTTCACTCACCACCCACACTACTCACACTCACTCACCCACTCACTCCCCTCACTCCCCAACTCACTCACTCACTCCCCCCACCTCACTCCGCCACTCACCACCCACTCACCCACTCACTCACTCACCCACTCACTCACCCACTCACCCACCCACTCACTCACCCACTCACTCACCCACTCACCCACCCACTCACTCACTCACTCACCCACCCACTCACTCACCCACTCACTCCCCCACTCACTCACTCACCCACTCACCCACTCACTCCCCCACTCACTCACTCCCACACTCACCCACTCACTCACCCACTCTCTCACTCCCCCACTCACCCACTCACTCACTCACCCACTCACTCACCCACTCACTCACCCACTCACTCACTCACCCACTCACTCACCACTCACTCACTCACCCACTCACTCACCCACTCACTCACTCACTCACCCACTCACCCACTCACCCACTCACTCACCCACTCACTCACTCACCCACTCACCCACTCACTCCCCCACTCACTCACTCCCACACTCACCCACTCACTCACCCACTCTCTCACTCCCCCACTCACCCACTCACTCACTCACCCACTCACTCACCCACTCACTCACTCACCCACTCACTCACCCACTCACTCACCCACTCACTCACCCACTCACTCACCCACTCACCCACTCACTCTCTCACTCCCCACTCACCCACTCACTCACTCACCCACTCACCCACTCACTCACCCACTCACTCACCCCACTCACTCACCCACTCACTCACCCACTCACTCACCCACTCACTCACCCACTCACTCACCCACTCACTCACCCACTCACCCACTCCCCCACTCACTCCCCCACTCACTCACTCACCCACTCACTCACCCACTCACCCACTCTCTCACTCACCCACTCACCCACTCACCCACCCACTCACTCCCCCACTCACTCCCCCACTCACTCACTCACCCACTCACTCACCCACTCACTCACCCACTCACTCCCCCACTCACTCCCCCACTCACTCACTCACCCACTCACTCACTCACCCACCCACTCACTCACCCACTCACCCACCCACTCACTCACCCACTCACCCACTCACTCACCCACTCACTCACCCACTCACCCACTCACCCACTCACTCACCCACTCACTCACCCACCCACTCACTCACCCACTCACCCACTCACTCACCCACTCACTCACCCACTCACCCACTCACCCACCCACTCACTCACTCACTCACCCACTCACTCACCCACCCACTCACCCACTCACTCACCCACTCACTCACCCACTCACTCTCTCACTCCCCCACTCACCCACTCACCCACTCACTCCCCCACTCACCCACCACCCACTCACTCACCCACTCACCCACTCACTCACCCACTCACTCACCCACTCTCTCACTCACCCACTCACCCACTCACTCACCCACTCACCCACTCACCCACTCACTCACCCACTCACTCACCCACTCACTCTCTCACTCCCCCACTCACCCACTCACCCACTCACTCCCCCACTCACCCACCACCCACTCACTCACCCACTCACCCACTCACTCACCCACTCACTCACCCACTCACTCACCCACTCACTCACCCACCCACTCACTCACCCACCCACTCACCCACTCACTCACTCACCCACTCACTCACTCACCCACTCACCCACTCTCTCACTCACCCACTAGTGCCGGGCTCCGCCCTTGGGACGTGGTGGTGGAGGTTGGTGGACGCAAGGTGGAGCGAGTGGAGGACGTCTTCTCCGCCGTGCAGAGCTCCACCACGCTCACCCTTGCCGTGCGGCGGGGGGTGGAGCAGCTCACCCTCACAGTCACCCCCGAAGCTGGCAACTAGACCCATAGTCACCCAGTCCCATAGTCACCCAGTCTCATAGTCACCCAGTCCCATAGTCACCCCGTCCCATAGTCACCCAGACCCATAGTCACCCAGTGCCATAGTCACCCAGTCCCATAGTCACCCAGTCACATAGTCACACAGACCCATAGTCACCCAGTCCCATAGTCACCCAGTCCCATAGTCACCCAGTCCCATAGTCACCCAGTCTCATAGTCACCCAGTCCCATAGTCACCCCGTCCCATAGTCACCCAGACCCATAGTCACCCAGTGCCATAGTCACCCAGTCCCATAGTCACCCAGTCACATAGTCACCCAGTCCCATAGTCACCCAGTCCCATAGTCACCCAGACCCATAGTCACCCAGTGCCATAGTCACCCAGTCCCATAGTCACCCAGTCCCATAGTCACCCCGTCCCATAGTCACCCAGACCCATAGTCACCCAGTGCCATAGTCACCCAGTCCCATAGTCACCCGGCTCCATAGTCACCCAGTCCCATAGTCACCCAGTCCCATAGTCACCCCGTCCCATAGTCACCCAGACCCATAGTCACCCAGTGCCATAGTCACCCAGTCCCATAGTCACCCAGTACCATAGTCACCCAGTACCATAGTCACCCAGACCCATAGTCACCCAGACCCATAGTCACCCAGACCCATAGTCACCCAGTGCCATAGTCACCCAGCCCCATAGTCACACAGTCCTATAGTCATCCAGTCCCATAGTCACACAGTCCTATAGTCACCCAGCGCCATAGTCACCCGGCCCCATAGTCACCCAGTCCAATGGTCACCCAGTCCAATAGTCACCCAGTCCCTGGGGGAGCTTTGTCTGTGTCTCAGCACTTGCCCCTACAGCCCTGCCAGAGGCTACCTGGGGGAACTTTGTACTCATCACTTGCCCCTACATCCCTGCTAGAGGCTACCTGGGGGAGCTTTGTCTGTGTCTCAGCACTTGCCCCTACAGCCCTGCTAGAGGCTACCTGGGGGAGCTTTGTCTGTGTCTCAGCACTTGCCCCTACAGCCCTGCCAGAGGCTACCTGGGGGAGCTTTGTCTGTGTCTCAGCACTTGCCCCTACAGCCCTGCTAGAGGCTACCTGGGGGCGCTTTGTCTGTGTCTCAGCACTTGCCCCTACAGCCCTGCTAGAGGCTACCTGGGGGAGCTTTGTCTTTGTGATGTGCCCGGTGATGAGTGGTGAATAAACGATTTGATGCGAAGTTAAAGTGACACTGAGACACTGAGACACACTGAGACACAGAGACACTGAGACACAGACACACTGAGACACAGAGACACTGAGACAGTGACACTGTGACACAGAGACACAGAGAGACAGAGACACAGAGACACTGACACACAGACACTGACACACAGAGACACACTGAGACACCGAGACACACTGAGACACTTAGACACAGAGACACTGAGACACAGAGACACTGAGACACACTGAGACACAGAGACACGAGGAGACACAGAGACAGCGACACAGAGACACGGGGAGACACAGAGACACTGAGACCCTGAGACAGAGACACTGGGTAGTGAGACACTGGGTAGTGAGACACTGCTAGTGAGACACTGGGTGGTGAGACACTGCTAGTGAGACACTGGGTAGTGAGACACTGGGTAGTGAGACACTGGGTAGTGAGACACTGGGTGGTGAGACACTGGGTAGTGAGACACTGGGTAGTGAGACACTCCTAGTGAGACACTGGGTAGTGAGACACTGGGTAGTGAGACACTGCTAGTTAGACACTGATGCACCACCTATGCCCCCTACTGTGCCAACTTGCTGTGCTTTAGCCACCCGGCGCTCCGCTCGTTGTTGTGAGCGTCGCTCCTCCGCCCTCCATTGTTGTTGGAGGGCGACTGCCTCCAACTGCCCAGTAGCATCCTTCACGAGCCTCCTCCACAGAGGCCGATCTTGACACCGCTGGTACCAGTCATCGGCAAGTCCACTCAGCTCTGTCGCACATGTCACTCACCCACGTACCAACTCACCCACTAATTAACTTACCCACTCACCATTCACCCACCCAGTCACCCACCCACCTACTCACCCACTCACCCACCCACTCAATCAGCCACTTACCCACTCACCCACTCACCCACCCACTCATCCACCCAGTCACTCACCCACCCACTCACTCACCCACTCACCTACTCACCCACTAACTCACCTACTCACCCACCCACTCACCCAATCACCCACTCACCCACCCACTCACCCACTCACCCACTCACTCACCCACTCAACCACCCACTCACCCACTCACTCACCCACCCACTCACCCACCCACTCACCCACTCACCCACTCACTCACCCACCCACCCACCTACTCACCCAATCACTCACTCACCCACCCTCACTCACCCACTCACTCACCCACTCACTCACTCACCCACTCACTCTTCCCAAGCTACGTGACCCAGCCGGAGTCGAGATCACTGATGGGACGGTGATCCCCAAGATCTTTTCGACGATTCGTGGAGCCAGATCTCTGCCTGCTGGTCAGCAGTCCAGGGTTGATCGTGGACAGGGCCAAGCGCTGGATGTTTGGATTCGACTCACGATGATCCTCAATTCGAGGGGTCCACGTTTCCCATTGCGGAGGGAATTGGAGGGCAATTTGACGAACCACATTGTTGCCACCACCACCACCATCATCATCACCACCATCATCACCATCATCAGCACCACCACTATCATCATCACCACCACCACCATCAACACCACCATCACCACTATCATCACCACCATCACCAACACCATCATCACCAACATCACAATCACCATCATCACCACCATCACCACCACTGTCACCACCATCATCACCACTATCACCACCATCATCACCACTATCATCACCACCATTACCACCACCATCATCACCACCATCACCACCACCCCCATTACCACCACCACCACTATCACCACCATCATCACCACCTCCACCATCATCACCATCACCACCACCATCATCGCCACCAACATCACAATCACCACCATTACCACCACCACCACCACCCCCATTACCACCACCACTATCACTACCATCATCACCACCACCACCATCATCACCATCATCATCATCACCATCATCACCATCATCACCACCATCACCACCACTACCACCATCACCACCACCATCACCACCACCATTACCACCACCATCATCACCACCACCACCAACACCACCACCATCACCACCACCATCATCACCACCATCATCACCATCATCACCACCATCATCACCACCACCATCATCAACACCACCACCAACATCACAATCACCACCATCACCACTATCACCACCATCATCACCAACACCATCACCACCATCACCACCACCATCATCACCATCATCACCACCATCACCACCACTATCACCATCATCACCATCACCACTATCACCACCATCATCACCACCATCACCATCATCACCACCATCACCATCATCATTATCACCACCACCACCATCACCACCACCACTATCACCACCATCATCACCACCACCATCACCACGATTACCACCACCATCACCACCACCACCTTCACCACCACCATCACCATCATCACCACCATCACCACTATCACCACCACCACCATCATGACCACCACCATCATCATCACCATCATCACCACCATCACCACCACCATCACGACCACCATCACCACCACCATCATCACAACCAGCACTACCACCATCACCACCACCATCACCATCATCATCACCACCACCACCACCTTCACCACCACCATTACCACCACCACTATCACCACCACCACTATCACCATCATCATCACCATCGCCACCACCAGCACCACCACCATCACCACCTTCACCACCACCACCATCACCACCACCACCACAGTGGGGGTGTTTGTCTTTGCTTTAGGGGTTGATTGACCGTGTGAACTTGTCCTCGGAACAATAGTGGTGGTGTTGAATTTTGAAACTTGGAGATCTCCACTCAACACCCCACCCACCCCACCCACTCACCCACACACTCACCCATACACTCACCCACTCACTCAACCACACACTCATCCACACACACACTCACCCACACACTCACCCACCCACTCACTCAACCACTCACCCACTCACCCACTCAACCACTCACTCACCCACACACTCACCCATACACTCACCCACACACTCACTCACACACTCACCCACCCACTCACTCAACCACTCACTCACCCACTCACCCACTCAACCACTCACTCACTCACTCACCCACACACTCACCCACACACTCACTCACACACTCACTCACCCACTCACTCACCCACACACTCACCCACATACTCACCCACTCACCCACTCACTTACACACTCACTCACCCACTCACCCACTCACCCACCCACCCCACCCACTCACCCACACACTCACCCACCCCACCCACTCACACACACACTCATCCACACACTCACCCACACACTCAACCACACACTCAACCACTCACCCACCCACTCACCTACTCATGCAACCACACACTCATCCATGCACACACTCACCCACACATTCACTCACTCAACCACTCACTCACTCACCCACTCACTCACTCACCCACTCACTCACCCACTCACCCACTCACTTACCCACCCACTCACTCACCCACTCATTCAACCACACACCCAACCACCCATCCAGTCATCCACTCACTCAACCACTCACTCACTCATACGCTCACACACTCACACACACTCACACACACACTCACACACTCACCCACTCACTCACCCACTCACCCACCCACAGTGACTTACAGAGACCCAGAGACTCATAGAGACCCACAGTGACCTACAGAGACCCCGAGACTCATAGAGACCCACACAGACCCAGAGACTCATAGAGACCCACAGTGACCTACAGAGAAGCAGAGACTCATAGAGACCCACAGAGACCCACACAGACCCAAAGACTCATAGAGACCCACAGAGACCCACACAGACCCAGAGACTCATAGAGACCCACAGTGACCTACACAGACCCAGAGACTCATAGAGACCCACAGAGACTCACACAGACCCACATAGACCCAGAGACTTATAGAGACCCACAGAGACCCACGCAGACCCAGAGACTCATAGAGACCCACAGTGACCCACACAGACCCAAAGACTCATAGAGACCCACAGAGACCCACGCAGACCCAGAGACTCATAGAGACCCACAGAGACCCACGCAGACCCAGAGACTCATAGAGACCCACAGTGACCTACAGAGACCCAAAGACTCATAGAGACCCACAGAGACACACACAGACCCAAAGACTCATAGAGACCCACAGTGACCCACACAGACCCAGAGACTCATAGAGACCCACAGAGACACACACAGACCCAAAGACTCATAGAGACTCATAGAGACCCACAGAGACCCACGCAGACCCAGAGACTCATAGAGACCCACAGAGACCCACACAGACCCAGAGACTCATAGAGACCCATAGTCACCCACACAGAACAAGTGACACATAGAGACCCACACAGACCCACAGAGATCCACAGAGACCCACAGAGACCCACAGTGACCCACAGAGACCCACAGAGACTCATAGAGACCCACAGAGACCCACAGTGACCCACAGAGACCCACAGAGACTCATAGAGACCCACAGAGACCCACAGAGACTCATAGAGACCCACAGTGACCCACAGAGACCCACAGAGACTCATAGGGACCCACAGAGACTCACAGAGACCCACACAGACCCAGAGACTCATAGAGACCCACACAGATCCAGAGACCCATAGAGACCCACACAGATCCAGAGACTCATAGAGACCCACACAGATCCAGAGACTCATAGAACCATAGAGACTCACAGAGCCAAACTTAAGCTCCCACAGGGTTTAGTGTTAATCACTGAGACTCACAGAGCCAGACTAAGGCTCCCACAGGGTTCAGTGTTAATCACTGAGACTCACAGAGCCAGACTAAGGCTCCCACAGGGTTCAGTGTTAATCACTGAGACTCACAGAGCCAGACTAAGGCTCCCACAGGGTTCAGTGTTAATCACTGAGGCTCACAGAGCCAGACTAAGGCTCCAACAGGGTTCAGTGTTAATCACTGAGACTCACAGAGCCAGACTAAGGCTCCAACAAGGTTCAGTGTTAATCACTGAGACTCACAGAGCCAGACTAAGGCTCCCACAGGGTTCAGTGTTAATCACTGAGGCTCACAGAGCCAGACTAAGGCTCCCACA